TGTCTGCCGCCATGTCGCTGAAAAAAGGAAGGTAAACCTGAGTGTAGCCTTGCAAGGACACAACGGGCGGGCGAGGGTGTAGGAGCATCTGTATGCGATTGGAAGATAGTGACAACGTATGTCAAATCTGCTGCATCATGATCTCGATGCACGTGGAATGTCAGCTGAAGAGCTACACTCTCTGGCCGGATTCGGACGGGCCAAGTAAAATCGTGAATCACTTCCCACTCGGTAAGGGCGGAGTGCCAACAGACTTGGGTCGTTGGGCTACAGGAACACTGCTTGACACTTTTATGTCGACTAAATCCTTTTCAAACATCAGTGGTGACGAGGGGGGGGTGGTGGTGACAGCATTGCCTTCTCCTCACAGGGCTTGTTCTCCGGTTCCGGCATCAGGATAGTCTATTGCTTCTTGCCCGACAGTGTCAGGTGAACAGGCTCTAAAACGTCTACTTCACTCCACAAGAGCGGTGATGATCCTCGACAACCCTTCGAATGATCGCGACACGACTCCGGCATCGCCGGCACGCAACATTACACGTACGGTTGGTGCCCGCACAACTTATCTTTATCTAGTTGTGGCCGAAGCTAGGGTGCTTAGATCCGAATGTAGCGTTGCGACAAATGGCCGCTCAGTAGGTTTTAGTGCAGAGGTTATTAACCGGGCTCACAAGTGGTGCTCGTACGTAACGTTGATCGTAAAGTGCTTGAGGACTCGGTGCAGTTGGCAGATCCTTCCACTTGAAAGTAACGTCAATGCTTGAATATCTTGGTTTTCCAAAGTCTAACACCAGCACGGGTTTCCGTCGTGCAGCAAACGTTCGCTGCGGTCGCTGGTGTTAAGTGTTTAAAGCAAAGATTGTATCCCTCGTGACACACAACAAATTAGCGGTCCGCCATTTTCCAAGCGAAACTTTTACCATCGGCTTCGGTGAGCTACAAGCAGGATTTGTGAAGCTGCTGGCGGTCCGGTTTTCGGACGCTTCAAGCACACAGAGTCCCCGCGAATCAGCGCCGATGCGAGTGTGTGGGGCAGCGAAGTCCGTCCCTCACACATCCCACTTGTCGCCGTAGTCGATTTGAATGCCTGGGGTTTTGTGGATGTAGGTCTAGCCACAAGAAAATGCGCTTGAAGTTAACGAAAATCGAAAATCGAACGCCACACCAGCTTCAAATATCCTGCTTGTAACTTTACGAAGTCGATGATAAAAGGATCATTTGGAAAATCACCCGCCTAATTTGCAGCGTATCACAACATCGTAGCTACTAACATTGCTACACCAGCGACCGCAGCGGACGTTCGCTGCGCGATGATAGATCCGTACTGGTGTTGGAATTTGGACAACCAGATATGCAGCGTTCCTTAATTTTTGTAAGAGATAATTCTGCCTACTCCACCGCTACCCTCAGTGCGGGCGCTAACTGTTGTAGCGCACACGTATGCTTGTGCGGCAGTGGCCGTGTGGGTGACAATATTAACTGGAGCAACCCCATCACCTAGTTCGTTTTGTTTGGGTGAAATTATTGCAGTGTTGGAACGCCAGACGCCTTGTTGGGGTTAGTCATAAGAAGTGATCATCAACCACAGCAGCGGTTTATCACACGCAGACTGGTTTTAATACTACCTCTCCAGCAACATCATTGTAAGTTTTCATTCCTAACGTATGATACGAAGAGAAGAAAAAGGGAGACGTGCGCGCGTGTGCTACGCACAGCAGGCAAGACAGAGAGCAAAGGGCGTCAATGCAGAGAGGCAGACTCTTGAAGTAGGGGGGGTAGCGACGAAGGAGGAGGAACGGGAACGGAAGGACAAGGGAATGACCAAAATTGCATTGGAGGAAGGAAGCATGGGGTGGACCACAGCAAAACTTTCAATCCAGATGGCCTTCCCCACAACAAACGACGCAGGGCTCGAGAAGAACTGCCGCAAAATAGCCGTACAAAATGATGAGAGTGATGGCCATGAAATCAAGGAGGATGATGTCCAAAACGAACTCGAGTTCAAGGCAGCAGCCTTGGTACAGTTAGCGCCCGCAAATAAGAAACGCTTATTTCAGGTCCAACCTTGAATTCCTATTGTGGGCTATAAACTCAGCGTATGTCGTTCAATTTCTTATTTCAAGTTCCTTATTTTCGTGGCGCCAAATCCTGCTGAATTTGTTCGATCGGCAATTTCTTATATTCTCTGCTCACGAGAGCTGGCGGAGAGCACCACCAAAACCGTACAGCAGACAGCATATCGTGGTTCGCAGCCTGTCTGGTGTACTGTGCCAGAGCCGGAGCGCCAGGGAGCGCCAGAGTCGGCAGGGGGTCGGAGGGTGCGCCGCAAAGAGAATATACCGTATATGACACAAGATAAAACACCCCTTTGACCAATTTTCGAAGCTCGATTTCTCAACTGCAGGAACAGTCACAGCGCCGAAAACGGCGGTGTTGAAACCGTCTCGTCGAGAGCTTTTCGAAAATGTATCGTTTTGTTTATGCATTCTCTTCGTCGTGGAGTAATCGAGCTTTGAAAATCGGTCCAGGGGGTGTGTTATCTTGTGTCATATACGGTATACTCCCCCCTCGTCGTCCAACCCCCCCGGTGTTTGCCATGGGGGTTGGGTTTTCGTCGCCTGGCAACGACGTTGTAAAACAAGCCCATTCACTTCGTGAACTCGGCAACCAGGTTACCGTTTGTTTTTTTACCTCTGTTTCTTTTTTGGCGGTCACCATAATGGTGGTCGAGTAGATCATGTCGTGCGGGGTGGAGGACCTTGACTCCGCGCAAGGGGGATGATCGCACCACGTTGTGTTAAAATGGTCAAGCACCCTCGAGGCAGTTACACAGTGCTTACAACTGTCTCTGGAAGTGAAAGCACCAGAAAATAAATTAAGTCATACGCAGCTGTCATCCGTACGCAAGGAAGTAAGCACGAGGTGCCGAACACCCGTAGCAGGATGCAGCGCACCCTGCATGCGACCNGGGGGGGGGGGGGGGGGGGGGGGGGGGGGGGGGGGGAGTGGGAGAGGGGGGGAAAAGCGAGAGATAGGAGGAGCTGTGGGGTGTGTCTTATTCGACACACTCTCCCCGTAACCACTCGTTTATTACGTAGTAGGGCAGCGGTCGCCGCTGTTTCTTATTGAGACATTTCTTATTGTGTGACCCAGCGTGAGCCATGTTTCTTAATCATATTCTCTTACGTTTCGTGGAAAAATGAGCCTCGAATTTTAAAAAAAAATCTAAAATTCGGGCGCTAACCGTAGTGCAGTGTTGCTCTGTTGCAATTGTTTCTATCTTTAATCCGGAGCATAGCTTAGCCTCCCCCATGCCGCCCCCTCACGAGGTCCCAAGTTTCATGGCATTCATTAAGTTAGGTTTTGTGTATTTATGTTTTCAACCGCGCTGAGAGTGACGTCTCTTCATTGGTCACCCGCTTAGCGCGGTCGACGCTATGTAATACTGGTACTACTGTAATAAAGACAGAAACAGCTACATAGTAAACAAGGGCGACCGACGGTGACGATCGACAGAGCGACGACGGCGCGATCGACGAAGGCGGCCCAACCCCAACCTAACCCCTACCCAACCCCAACCCAACCCAATCCCCACCCCAACCCTACCCTACCCTAGCCTACCCTACCCACCCCAACGGCGACGAACGACGAAGCGACGGCGACCCAACCCCAACCCAACCCCAACCCTCCCCTCCCCTCCCCAACCCTCCCCAACCCTGACACAACCCGGTGAACGCAGAAGGCGAGGATGATGGACGTTAATCACTTCGCCACAAACATCATGTAGATAAAAGTGACACACAGGAGCTGAGGGACCACGAAGAAGTGCGTACCGAACCAGGCCGCCCGATTGACCGACCAACCGACCGACCGAACGACGGAACCAACCCATACCCCCACCCGACCCCAAAACACAACCCTACCTTCTACCCTACCCAACCCATGCCAACCCAAAACCAAACCCAACCCGACCAACACCGACGGACCGGCCGACCGGCCGACCCTGCCCTACCCTAGCCTTCCCAACCCAACACAACCCAAAACACAACCTAACCCCAACCCGACCGACCGACCGACCGATCGACCGACCGACCCAACCCACCCTACCTCCAACCCAACCCAACCCAACCCGACCCCAAAACACAACCCGACCAACCGACTGACCTACTCCATAACAAAAAAGACACGGACAGAGAAGAGGCGTCTTCGTTCGCTGCATCTACCGCTATATTGTTTACTACTCGTACGAAGTACTCTGTAATTGTACATTCAACCACCAAAATCAATCTGGCAGGATCAAGCTTTAAGAATACCTGTCGGTCTAGATGTACGTCTCTTGGCAACTCGTCTGAGAATACAGTACAGCAGTAGGAAACGGTGTTGATGTTTGGGGGTATCGTTGTACTGTACTGCTGTGCTGTAGCTGTGCATCAAATAAGTGCCGCAGGTTACTGCGCCAACGTTCGGCACGTGCCGCAATCTTGAAACAAGAAACATTTTGTACGTCAGTTAGTGACTCCATCACCCACACTTACCGACCACCACAGTTGTCACAGAAACGAACGAGATAACCACCAGCTGCTCCTTTTTGCCCATCTTCAGTTGTTGAAGCCAGAGCAAGAGGGGAAAGTCCACTGCAGTCGCTGCCTGTCCGCGCGCCAAAGCGCTGGATGGAAGCTTGACTGTCCGCCCAATGACGCTTGCGCCTACACGTTCTCGATACACTCAGCTGCACAGGGCTCAAAGCTTGGCAGACCGAAAAGGGAATGGAATGGTGCGGAATGGATCCCCTTGTTTTGTTGATCTCCCTCTCTTCGCCCTCAGTCCTGTGGCTCTGTTCAACGCGTCCGACGGCTGCCCCTGCTACTGCTGTGTGTGTATACTCTGCTAGCGCATGATTCACCGACACACCACCTGGTCTCTGGACTCGGGGTACTCTAAGTCGCACCTGCGTCTCCCCTCAACAAGAGCCACGAGCACGCAGGACAGGATGAGGGAGGCTACACATACAAGTGCATTTACATTCTCAACAACACGTGCATGCTCACCCGCTCCAACAGCACCGACGTGGGGAGCGCTTGGCAGAAGTTCCGCGAGTTAAGAGATATCTTGGTTTGTCTGGCGCGCGCGCATCGAGGAGAGGAAATTCATTGTCGGTGCCTTTGACAGCGAGCTCAACCTGAAGGTGTTGGGAGCGATCACGTCTCTCTTGTTGCACCGCCCAGGCCCAACGATGGTTGACACCTCCGCCGTGGTGTTGGAGAGTGTTGTCGTAGAAGAACCTCCCGTCGTCCTGGAGAGTCTAAAAGGAGCCACCGTCGGGGATGGTGCAGGTGCAGGCGATGCCGCTACTCCTGGCGTTGATGAGGTGGGGCCTGGTGCTGAGGAGCCGGAGCAGAATGTCCGGCCGTTTTCTCCCCAAATGAAGTCCCCTCACATAAGCACGCTCTACGAGAAGCAGGACGTGATGGTGAAGCATTTCGGGGTGACACAGAAGCAGGCGCTGCGCACACAGGCGCTGCTGAGGCTCGGAGTTACTGATGAGGACGTCCGGATTGCCGAGCGATTAATGGGGTCACGTTCAGACGGGGCCGACAATGTGAGCGTACAGATTGGCTTCCGTTTTTTGGTCGCGAGACAGCAGGGTTGGTTGAAGAGGCGGCGAAGCGAGATTAGAGATTTTGGTAATCGTCGTGGTGGTTGATAGCATGTGAAACACAGCGGATCTCCTACTTGAGGGGCCCTCGATCGATCCATGTCGGCGTTCTAGGGCGTGTGCTTGAGAGTCTTTGGTCCCCTCGTCTGTGGTTGGTGTTATTTCTATTTCTTTGGTCGCTCACAAATTGGAGTATGCAGACATGCAGACGCGAGCATCAATCACACTCTGGCTGGTAAATATTCCGTTGTCACGTACGTCGGTCGGCTTTGTACAGAAGCAGCAGCGTGTGTGCAGATAGACAGTGCCGGTGTCATCAATCGTCGACATGCCTTGCTGTGGTCTACCGTCACTACACGAGTCTTCTTGGACATTAGCAGGAGTCCACAGCAGAGATGCTTTGCGTGGTTGACATCTATCTGCACTAGGCGTTGGTATGCATGTGGCTAGTGTGGCCATCGACCCGAGAACACCGCATGCACCGGAACAGCTGTTTCTTTAGACTATGAACCGGACGATTTGATTCTTGTAGTCGGAGTACTCTTGAATCGTTCTTAAAACCCGGTGTACTTTTGAATAGAGTAGTTGTTGTTTGTTTTTCTCCCATCATTGGACTCTGTAGTCTGCCCCTCTGGCCCTATCCTCCACTTCTACCAGCTAGACGACCCAACTGGGGTCACATAGGAGGGCGGGGTTGGACCCCCTCCTGCTGTTCCTGCCTGAGACATTTTTATCGCGAGAAGGGTACAGCAATCCCTTCCCTCGCGACTTGTGAATTCGATCAACTTCACTATTATAACAACGAGCATTTCAGCGCGTCGCTTCCAACGGAGACCAGGATTTAACAAGCGATAAAAAACTCTCTCTGTCGGGACTCGAACCCATGACCTGGCCCGTAGCAGGCTGCGAGGCTACCCACTACACCACCGGGGCGACCGGTGGTAGTAGTACGGACTGCTGGCGCCTCTACCTTTTTGTTCTATTAATATCATTATACCAAGAATAGGTACAGCAGTACTATTGATGTATACAGCAGGTATCATTTATCGGACGCGACACTCTTCCGACACGCTTCGTTTGTCCCGGGTTTGACCGCCCTTGTGCGGTGATCCCACGTCCTCAGACACCCTCCAAGGAAGAATGGCTACTGGGAGTGACATATGCACAGATGAGCTTTCACAAGGCGCTGCAGGTGTTGGGGATATCCGAAGGTAAGAGATGGGACCAAGAAAATAGTGCACATTCACAGCAGTAGCCTGCTTCAACGGCTTGACCGAAAGCAGCTGCTCATAGCCTGTACTCGTGTCTGGCCTCGGGATGACCCCAAACGGGCTGCTGCTGCAGTGCTGTCGAGTTCGGGCACCAGAGTGCAATTTCGTTGTGTTTTATTTGTGTTGAGCATGAAGCCGGGCGTATCTGGTGGTACCTGCCCGTATCTGGAGTCCCGGTCTGAACCTAACCCTGTTGACCTGTGTTGACCCGCCTGCCCCTCACAAAGAAACATCCTTGAGGTGATATGAATACCATCCCTCTCCGTTCTGCGGCCCCTTTGCTATAACCTGTCACGGATCCCCGCGGTTTTTCCGTGCTTTAGAAGAGTGACTTCTCGTGTCTGCTGTGCCGTTCACTCTGTGGTGTGTTGGTTGGTTGGTTGGTCCTCTGCAGCGTTGGTTCCGATCGGCGGTATGCAGACCTTTTGGGCACGCACAAACTTCAGCAGCGTTACCCCTACATTTATCTTTTGTTACAAGATATGTAAGGCTGCTATGTGAGGCTGAGGGAGGTGTACCAGAATCGTTGTACGTACCGCGCAAATGTGGCGTATTCCGGCGGTTGCGTTTTTTTGTTTTATGTCAGTACGACCCAACGAATCCATCTCTTCAAGTATCTATAGAACAGAGTCTAAGATGTAGAACCCGAGTATTTCGTCCGACTGCAGCAGTACCAATAGAATATAGAGTAATTTTTGATGGAAAAGTCACGCGAACATGAATGTCTCGTTGAAGCCTGTGACGTGCCGCCGCTGTTGTTGTGATGGTGCATGGTGCGTGGAGAGTCTACTGGCTTGGGGTTACACACGTTGTGAACATCCTCCTCATGGCCAAATAATCCAGCACGTTATCCACGGATACCTGTGGATTCATTCTGAAATGTGGCATGGAAGGAGCGAACGTTTCAGGTTGAATATTCTCTTTAAAGGTTAAAGAGACACATGTATTGTATTGCACCGGTACAGCAGTAGACTACGGTCGACATCTTGATATCTAGATACAAGTCAAGTCATTTTCTTCTCCCTCGTCTGTATGTCGGAACAATTGCCTGCTCCTCTCGTCTCTTCTTCTCTCTACAAAGCTGTGGTGGAGGAGGAGAGGTCACGGCGACTCGGCGAGCTCGGGTCTGGCGGGAGCGGAGGGGGGGCGTCGGAATGTGGCGCTGGTCGAGAGGCGGAGGACACGTGCGGTAGGTTCTTCATCAAGAAGCGGCGGTCATCGATCGAAGAACTGGGAACCACACTACCCGGGGAGGTAGCCTTTGCAAATGTGAGCCAAAACAACCCAGTAGGGCACACATTGTTACACGTGCGCCTCTGATATGTACCCGCATAGCGGTCAATGGAACCTAACAACTGCATGGGTTTTATCGAAAGCCTATCATGTTCTTGGCAATGGTATCGATATCAATGTTGTGCGATCTTTGATAACGGGAGTAAATACCAATGAAGAGGATTAGAGGGATATCTTCGCAACAGAGTGCCTCATTGCTCAGAGCTACAGAACGTATTAGTGCATACCGCCGCGCAGAATTTGCCCAGGCACGAACAGTTACTGTCGGCTATGCATTACAACGTGCTGTCGACTTCTCGTGAAAATGTACTGTGGGTGACAGAGTCGGCGTTGACGCATAGGACCGCAAAAAAATATTGTGCACCCGATTGCTGTGAGTCGTCTTTCTTTCGATAGGTATGGTTTCAACCGACATCCTTGTGTACTGTGTAGTGCACTTGTCTATGCATACAAGAAGCGGTTGTTTGACAAGGGTTTCTGTTTCTCCTGATCGATACCTGTTGAGGTCCGCAAGTGGTTGACGGCATGATAGAACGAAAAGACTTGCGCATGAAGGTCAGCAGTGAGCATTACACATGGACCCGTCGATATCTATCGTGATCTTGGAATACTTTTATGTCCCTCTTTGCACAGGTCCGTTCTGTAGGGTACTGATACTTCTGTAGGGTACTGGGAGAGTTACAGAGCTGTTTGTGAAATCTCTGTAGGGTACTGGGAGAGTACCGAACTTTCTGTAAAATCTCATTAGATACTGGGGAGAGTACCGAACTATCTGTTAAATCTCTGTAGGGTACTTAGGTCTCACAGAACTCCTCTGNCTGTAAAATCTCGGTAGATACTGGGGAGAGTACCGAACTATCTGTGAAATCTCTGTAGGGTACTTAGGTCTCACAGAACTCCTCTGTATGGTACACAAACAACGTACCTACAGACGAACCCGGTACTTACCCCGATAGTAGCAGCGTCACAGGACATCACGTCCTGCACCGCACAAAAGGACGTCTGCACCGCATGAAACACAATACTGATATTATACTCCGAGATCAACGTGGCTCCGTGCATTCTGATTCTACCCCACCCTACAGCGGCGCCACCATTGGTCTTCCTCAACTATAATTAATGAAGCTGACACGAAAAAAAAAAAACGTTCGACTACACCTGACCTGCGGTTGCCTTGGCGCCTCCTCCACTCAGAGGTACAGCAATCAAAACCGCGAAGAACGACAACAACAGAATCAACAATCAACCGCCGTAGCTACGCAGCACTAAGCCTCCGTTGTTGTCATTTGGAGCGAAAACGCAGTGCACCAAAGCAGAACACAAAACACGTACGGCTGTTTCTGTTTCACCCTCGCCTCCTCCACCCCCAACTGCTGTACTTTGCGCCGGGGAGACGCTCGCTGCTGCTGAGGTCTGCACTCTCGCTCATGTTCCTCTCAAGCTATGTGACCGAAAGGAGTTCTGTGGAGGTACCTAGTTCTAGTTCTGTGATCGCCTTCAAGCTTTTTGTGGCTGTGGGGCAGGTGGGGTCTTCGGCGCAATCCTGACGTCATACCTCCGAGGGTACTACTGTACAGAACTTTTCGGTAGGGTACTGGGAGAGTTACAGAACTGTTTGTCGGTAGGGTACTGGGAGAGTACCGAACGTTCTGTAGAATCTCTGTATGTACTGGGGTCTCACAGAACTCCTCTGTAAAATCTCTGTATGTACTGGGGTCTCACAGAACCTTTCGGTAGGGTACTGGGAGAATACAGAACGTTCTGTGAAATCTCTGTAGGGTACTGGGCGAGTACCGAATGTTCTGTGAAATATCTGTAGGGTACTGGGAGAGTACCGAACAGTCTGTAAAATCTCGATAGATACTGGGGAGAGTACCGAACTATCTGTGAAATCTCTGTAGGGTACTGGGGTCTGACAGATCTTGTTTGTAGTGATCTGTCGGTACTTACAGAGGGAAAATACCGCCGGTACCGATCTGTGAGTATCCTACAGAACGGACCTGTGCCTCTTTGTGTGTGTGGATCTTTCGAATCCGGCGTTGGAGGGCGGTTTGTATTCATGCATATGTTTCCTTTTACTTTTTTCTCCTTTTCTCTTTTTCTCTCTTTCTGTGCGCCAGATGGCCTTGTTTCTGCTTGCCTTGTGAAGTACCAAGATTGAACCAAGGGGGTGTACCTCTTTCTCTCCGGCCCGTAATGGTGACTCCTAGTCTCAGTTGTTACCTCACATAGCACGCAGAGGGAGTGGAGGACTCCAGAATATCTCTCGTTGATTTCTATTGACTTGCGGACCCCTCGGGGCCATTTTATTTGAGTGTACCTTTTTAGGGTAAGTTAGCCTGCGACCACGGGAATCGACCGCGTCGAGTGTTGGATCAGTCCGGACATATGAAGGTACTGGGTAGAGAGAGATCGGAACGGTTTTTAATGTGAAGACAACAACAACAACAACAACAATACATACCACTTGCGCTCAGTGACTTTTCCAACAAAGAAATATCTCTCCGTCTCCGCCTCGTGGGGACGTGGCCCTCTGGTATATATGCCGCCCAAAGATTTCCCCGCCGACAAATAGCTTACTATAGCGAAGTAGCTTTAACATTTTCTCTATTGGCCCCATGTCCCGTCGGTGACTCGAGAGTTCAACGTTTTCTCCGATGTGCCGTGCCATGATCGGATCGCGTACAATCCAAGCACTTCACGGCAACTCTATGGTTAAAGTTCAGGTGCTGAAGTCGCCCGGCCAGTTGGTTGCTGGAAAGTAATAGTAGTAGTGATGTGCGTTATCTTGATGATCATATGTGCATTTGAGTTTGGTATTCCTGGACACAAACTGAGCGGGATCCGCCCCCTGCTGCTCAAATTTTCGGTGCGTGCCCTCCTTCCTTCATTCGTAAAGTCGCGAGTGTTGCAGCTGGAGGAAGTCTGCCACACGCAAATGACGCGTATCCAGGAGCTTGAGTCTCAGGTGAGACGTGAAGTCGACTCAACCGAAAGGGCTCAAGAGTCACTACTTGGTTCCGAGTGGCCACGCAAGTAGCGGCGGGGGCACCTCTGAACGTGCACGCGGCTTCGTGTCCAACGATTTGTGTTAGCTTGGGGTCGTTGATTTTCCGCTTCCGTGAGGATTGGACTGACGCCCGTCACGCAAGTCGGCGCCTTCGCTCACGTGATTCGTTAACTAGATGTTCGAATCACTCTTGATTCGTTGTTGGCCGTGCGTAATGTACGGCGTGATTAACTACCGAGGTGATGTCTAACCCGCCCTGAGTCGGAACCAACCGGAGCAACCTTATTGCAGCACTGGTGACATTGCAGGAGCAGCGATCGGTAGGATAGCTTCCCGCAGCATTGCAGGTTTGTATTACACCACTTTCATGCCAATGTCACCAACGTCATGACTTGATGTAGTGACGGGCCTCGCAACTTAAGACATGCCCCTCCCCCCCGCCTCTGTTATTAAACAAGCCGATCTTGAACTCGGCCGCCAGGTTACCGCTTCTTTTTTTTTCCTTTTTTTTTGTGGCGGTAACCGTTATGGTGGTCGAGTAGATCATGTTGTGCGGGGTGGAGAACCCTCACTCCGCGCAACGGGGATAATCGCACCATGTTGTGTTAAAATGGTCAAGCACCCTCGAGGCAGTTACACAGTTCTTGCAACTGTCTCTGGAAGTGAAGCACCAGAAAATAAATTAAGTCATACGCAGCTGTCATCCGTACGCAAGGAAGTGAGCACAAGATGCCGAACACCCTTAGCAGGATGCAGCGCACCCTTCATGCGACTCGCCGAATACCTCACGGCGCTTCGCGCTTGGTGATGTGAGAGCCTGGTCCGGTGAGAACCCGGCGTGCTCCGTCCCGGCTTTGTAGGGATGCGAGGTCAATGGTCTAACGACTACGGCATGCACGACTATGAGTACACCCCCCCCCCCCCGCCCCCCCCCCCCCCCCCCCGGTGTTTGCCATCGGGATTGGGTTTTCGTCGCTTGGCAACGACGTTGTAAAACAAGCCAATTCACTTCGTGAACTCGGCAACCAGGTTACCGTTTTTTTTTTTTTCCTCCGTTTATTTTTTTTTGGCGGTAACCATAATGGTGGTCGAGTAGATCATGTTGTGCGGGGTGGAGAACCCTCACTCCGCGCAAGGGGGATGATCGCACCACGTTGTGTTAAAATGGTCAAGCACCCTCGAGGCAGTTACACAGTTCTTACAACTGTCTCTGGAAGTGAAAGCACCAGAAAATAAATTAATTCATACGCAGCTGTCATCCGTACGCAAGGAAGTAAGCACAAGATGCCGAACACCCTTAGCAGGATGCAGCGCACCCTTCATGCGACTCGCCGAATATCTCACGGCGCTTCGCGCTTGGTGATGTGAGAGCCTGGTCCGGTGAGAACCCGGCGTGCTCCGTCCCGGCTTTGTAGGGATGCGAGGTCAATGGTCTAACGACTGCGGCATGCATGACAATGAGTACACCCCCCACCCCACCCCCCTTGCCTCTGTTCGCACTGATGCGATCCGCGCAGCTCGCTGTACTTTCCGCGAGGTCGTCCACATCGGATTCGTGAAATGGGTCCAGTTTGTACACTTTTCGCCCCGCGGCCAATGACGATGGGCGTTCAGGAGGGCAGTCAGAACGCGAGCGTTTCGACGATGTCATTGGCTTCTTGTGAGGGGTCCCGTCGCGAGGCGAGAAGTCCTCGATCGATAATCCACAATTCGCACACGGATTGATGCAAGCCAAGTGTTCTCGGCGGCGGGGGGGTATAATTTTTTTCTCTTTTCCCTCTCATGTAAACACAACCGTGAGATTCTCACGTTCGCGTACAACCAGGTTGGCCGTCAATCTTTTGCTCCTATACCTTACAAAGTGTATTACCCCGTGTATTTTGGGCTGGGGGTAAATGGAAAACGTACCCACATTTATATTTGTTCGCAAAAGGTACGGGAGGTTTGTATTGAACTGTTTTGTTTGGGTTTTCTGTTCGTTTTGACCAATTGCACGCACATCATCTACGGCCGGCTCAGTTGATAGTGTGGGCTGCAGGAGGGAAGGTGTGCGGTGTGTGATTGGGTTGTATTTTGGTCTGCGGGCGACCACGCCCGTGCCGTTAACGCCTGCGATAGTTTTGTCCTGTATGTGGCCTCGTGGGGCTGTCTTGTGGTGATGCGTTAGTTGGTGTTCTTTCCTCCTTCGTGAGCGCCCTCGGTGCTGTATTGTAAGACATAATTTTGGTCTTTAAGGTTAAGGCTGTGAGGTTAAAATCCCAGCTTCCTATTATGAATTGTGGTACGTAGAGTAGAGGTTGACAACCTTACGACTGTGTTCGTTGGTAGCAGTTTTAAGTTCGGGGGATAACGGGGGGTACGGGGAAGCTCTTGTATTCGTTTAGTGTGGAATGCGATGTACGCACTCACAACCCTTACTCTTTTCGTGGGACCAGCCGTTTGAATGTCAGCTTAGCATGCTTGCAGTTTTATTTGGTCCACTTCGCGAAGGGTACTACTATTCCTAGAGACTAAAAGTACGCAAGGATAAGAAAATCTTACTGCAGTGGGCATGGTGCCTGATTGAGAAGTCATAGGTTGTGCGACGGTGCGCCCGACAACACCGTAACACCATGCCAAGCCTACATGTACAAATGATAGCTTTCACAAACACTTGCGTGCTTGCCCACGTCGACAAAGCGTCGGCGTGCTCGGTGAAACACAGCTATCCTAGCATATACCTGTGCTCTTCTTGCCACCGAGTCGGATGCGTACCCCGACTATTTCTCCGGAGTTTTAGTTGGGTACAGAGCTGACACGCAGCCCTTCTAACGAAAAAAAAAACGGACGGCAGTAGAACGCGCACGAAGCTACAAGCGTAACGAGCCATCGCTGATTGCCTCGTACAAATGCCTCGAAAGAGGCACGAATGTCCTGTCGACGCCGTCGCGAAGTAGTAGGGCTTCTCCTTCAACATTTGCAGGATCGAAACCCTCCTGCGCAATGGAAGATTGCAACACGCTCAGGACGCGCACATGTCATCGTTTCATTTCTTGCTCATGCATACGTGAACAGGAGTAGTTCGTGCGATACTCAAACTAACGCCTAAACTAAACTTGGATGAACATCAACATTCCCACGTTCGTCAAGTTCCACAGACGTGGCCACACGCTCTGTTCAACTCGGGGTATGTATTCGGAACGTACCTTCCTGAGCTGGGTCTTGATGCGCTTGAATGTTGGCGTCATCTGGGAGGTCGAGCTCGAGATCGCCGCAACCCGCAAGAATTGTGGTTGGGCAAAACTTGGGAGGTGCCTGTCCAAGTGCTGGAAAAAGCTCTGCGAAGAATAAGCAAGCGGCAACATACAAGAGACGGAAGCATCTCACGTGACGAAAACAACCCATTCAGTGACACGAGGCCTGATCTGGAACCATGTGCGTTTGTTGTTAACAACGAATCATTTGAACGTAAAGCCAAACCTGCGAACAAAAACACGCGCTTCTGCCCGAAAAGGGCATGAGAGCGGAACACGTACGTCACCCCCAGTATGTTTCTGGCTCAAGTCTTGTTTCCTCCACTCACTGGGAAGTGCGATTCGGGGTCAGACCAAATGCATGCTATGTGATGGATGCCTTCAACTTCAGCGCGAGAGGGGCTGAGCCAAAAGCCAACCCTTTGTTCTTTCATCTACAGGCATGCATATGATGTACCAGAAAACCACTCACGAACAAGCCCTTCTACACTCTGCACATAGTTCCGATCACCACGGCCTTTGAACCCACTTGTAGCTAGCTTTGACCGGGGGGGGCATTGAGTGAGGTCATTGTGTGAACAGATAGGCGGTAAGCTTCGCCCAGGGCGAGGAATCTTTGCCGAAGTAGGTCCATGCAGAATGGTCGAAGCATAGAGTCGAGTCACTCGATGATACCTTAAACATTGCCCCCATATATGGTCTCACCCCATGCACGCCTGCCTACCTTGCAGTCGAGTTCATCCGCTTGACTTGATTCTTTCAACGCGACAGCCGCCATTCCAGCCCGCCCTTCTGTCCCGGGGACTTCAACCCCGTAAACGTTCACATCTGCAATTCCTGGGAAACCACAGATTACGTGGGCCACCTCTGTTGTAGCCACGTTCTCTCCTTTCCACCTGCGATAGAGCCGGTCCGCACGACAGACAGGGCAGACACGTCAATATAGCCTTAAGCGCATGCAGGAGTGTGCAGACACATTTAATTCAAGCAACAAGCAGAGACAAGAGGCGTGGCACAACACTGTCACCATCACCATCCATTACCAACCTGAACGTGTCTCCGAGCCGGTCCACCCAATAGTAGAATCCAAACGCGTCCTTCCGAAGTAAGTCGCCACTTGCAAAGTAGAGGTCACCGGGAAGCATGACATCTCGCACGATCTGACGGGAAGGAGGTTAGGCAAGGGCAACGTCATTGTGAGTATTGAGCAAATGTGGTCTCAGCTCGACTTGTGTGTTATGTGAAGGAAAATCTCGCGTGCTGCATGGCCCGCCGTAATCCCGGCCTGGCGAGGATGCTCATAACACACCGCCGTGTCTGTCGAACTGGTACTTGGTAAGAGTGGGGCGCCACCTGGCCAATACCTGGTCATGGGGCAATACAGCACGGGCCCAGTTAAGAAATTTCTTCGAAGTATTTCGTTGAGACTCAAAATATTAACGAAAAATAAGAAAATAGGGTTCAGAAAGACAGCTCAACGGTGGATCCTCGCCTGAACATCACCAGGTTTGCAACAACCTGTGCTCGGCAGGTGGCGATGAATAGGAAACTGAGCCTCGACTCGATTTTTGGGCTACTAATCTCAGGGCCCGTTCTGTACATTCGATTCTACTTGCATTGAGTTTTTCATGCTTGGTTTCGCGCCAAGACAAACGATTGCTTGCTGTAGGACCGTGTCGACGACCGAAACGGCTCACCTTTTTCGCGGAGGCCATTGAGTCGGTATACCCCTCAAATCGTCGGGCGGGGTCGTGGTCATTGATGAGCCCCACTAGTTGACCAACTTCGCCAGGTTGGCAGGACACACAGCGACCCCGGCTGTCTCGCAGCAACTCCTCGCCCTCTGCAAAGAACGAGAGCACAAGCACGTGGTTTGTTCCGTAAAAGTGGCATGTGGCGCAATGATTCACTTGCCGCCGAACAGCAAGCGCCACGGCAGCAAGCGCGACAGGGCCAGGCCCTTCCACAAAATCCCCAAATCGGGTTGTCATGGCCGTTTTTCGCTCACCGGGGTCCATCCTAAGAAGGAGAGTCGGGTAGAGCTTTGCGGCAAACCACGGAACAACGCCCACAGCCCCTACTTTGCTTGTGGTATTGACCATGGCCACATTTCCCTCGGTGGATGCATAAAACTCACAAATGCGCTGGACGTGGTACCTGTGATTTCACAGAACACGGTGATCGCTTGAAGCTCTCTCTTGGCAACCACAGTGTGAGCACCCAGGGGTGGTAAAGCGTTGATCAAGCATGGTTCAGCCGCATCGTTTTGATGGGATGAGGGCAAGTCCGGGCACAAATATTCGTCTTCAACACCTCCCGCTCCTCGTGGGACACATCAACGCAGTAGGGTCGAAGGGCACAATGGAGCGTATAGAACGAAGGTGGGCAAGAGGCAGAATCGACCAAAACAATGGCATGACCAGTCTGTAGAAGCCTCCGTCTTGGTGCCATGATTCAACGAAAGCGCCATAATTTAGCAAAGCATCATCCGCAGATTCCATACTCGATACCCGAAAGTCAAGTAGCAACCACGTGGCTCAAGGCTCACAGCAGGGGTGAGCGAGCTCGCAAAGTTTGCAACACGCCAAATCGCTCCGTGTTCGGCTACCAACTACATCCTGCAAGTTACCCGTTTCATGTTCCACCTCGGAGCAGCCTTGCCAAATCCAAAACGCAAAAATATTTATTTAACAATGCTTTTACTGTCACCTTACTTCACCTTTGCTGGAAGCGGCGCCAGACGTCAGGGCTTAGACCATTCCCGAATGCAACCCTGATGGAGCACTGCTGGTCTAGATCTGTCTCGCTCGAATTCACCAAGTACCTGCGTACACCGAGGGGTTCCTTGAGCCTCTTACCCAGTGTTGGATGCAACAATTTTTCCAAGTTGAGAAACGCGGTTACAAGCCCCATCACAAACCAACAGCCTTTGTGCCGAGCAACAAAAGCTATCAGCCGGAGGCACGCTTCTCAAAAACTTGAATGGCGGGCCTTGCCCGTATGCATACGACCGAAGTATTCTCACAAGCTCTCCTCGGCATGTTGGCTCTGATGACCCTTTTCCTCGGTGGCACATACGAGATGCGAGGCAAACGCCCTCGGACGCCGCTCGAATTTGTCCTTCCCCTGCTGGCTTGCTGAGCATGCAGATGCTACTGTACTCGTGTGATCAGGATCACAACCCTTGAGGATTTTGGCAAAATGTGTGACATGTAAGGGGATTTTACACGCCCAAGCAGCCGCTGACAGGGTACCGAAGGCCACACTTGTCCCTTCATAAAATACCCCGCCATGTGCTCGGGGCAGGATGAGACAGCCCGATGCGCTATATTCTACAAGGAAACCCCCGAATATCCACGTTCCATTGGAGTGCCCTCTGTCATGGGCGCATTCCAAGCAATACATAGCTTCACAAGTACGTGGAAAAAACAATCGACGAACGATTGTACTATCGTAGTTCGGACTTGCGACCGGCTCTTCGAGTATACTGCTGTAGGCTATTACAGCTTACCTTGCTACCTCGCCAATGTACTGCACAACGCTGCACCGATGCGCCACGCAGTCGCTCGAAAAATGCCGCACGCTGAAGCGCCTGCGAACAACTAGGGTACACCCAGCACGCCAGCATCCACCCACGCCCAGCATGCCGCCAGAGGAATGGTAGAGGGGCAGCGCGCAGTACACCCTGAAAGAAAGGAATCAAGCCCACGTGCACCAAGGAAAGTCCACCCACATCCTCAGTCAGTCGGCAGGAAGAGCTACATACTTCTGAATTCGGTAATAATCGATACCAGAAAATTCACAAGCTCTAGTTGTGCGGAAGCGTTGTCCGTCCATCACAACATGTCTTCTTTGATCCGTTTAGACGTCCAGTCTTGCGCGGGGCGAGCATCTCGACCGACAGTCGTTGTAGTCCAAGGTTAATGTACATTTTTTTGTCAGCTGGAGCATTTCTCGGTGGCAGTTGAAACCGCGGCTGGATAGGTGGCGTATGCAAGTTGTTGGACTGGTGCTTAGAGGACTTCGGAGGTTGGATAAACAGGAAAAAGGAGGAACCAACAGAAGCGCTTGCCAATACCTGTCGTCAGAACGCAGTCTGGCCGTTACGGAGAACATGACAGCTGAGGAGAAGAAACGGAGATGGCTGATTTTGGAAGCCTTGGGTAGGCCGGTGGTGCCCGAGGTGTAGATGTAAATCAAAGGGCTGTTCCACCTGTAGGAAAGACAAAGGGGTTCAAGGGACAAGACCGAAGAACATCGATGACGACGCAGCGTCCGTACATGTTGCCAGTATCCCTGGACCATTCTCCTACAAGCGAAACAAAACGGCTCGTACAAACCCAACTCGTTCTCCACAAGGAGGACGAAGACGGTATCAGTCGCTGCTCAAGTCAATGATTGTCGTTTTTCCTTCACTGTACTCTGTAGCAGTTGTACAGGGTTCCCTTTCCTGTCGCAACGGAGAGTAAAGCCAACTGCGATTCAGCGATAGACACACGAGGTACAGAATGTGCTCCGACTACTTATTGCGCTCCTCACATGATCCCCCGACGACTTCCCTCGGGGACAGAGCCTTGACTCATTGTTGCTAGCTGTGACCGCATATCATCTCGTGAGATGCCCCCAGCTTCTGCTTCTCCCCCGTACACGCAGATACGCACCTGTTGGCTCCGACAGGGTAATGGCATGACATCGTCGGGGGATCGACGGGGTGAGATGTTTTTTGAACGTCGTTGAGTGCGACCCCCGCCACAAAACATACTCCGCCGTGAATCCTGCACCCACCTCGGGAGGTCGTGTATACTATGGGTACAACAAAACAAAATCGATTCAAAAAGCTAAAGACGATCAACCGGCCTCCCATTTGTCGCTCGCTACATTCGCCCCGGCATGACAGGGTACGCTGCAAGTTGGTTAGGTCAATGCGACAGCCTTGATACAAGTATACCCAACCCTGTTGCTCACCGTTTCAGGGAGCGCATCAAGGACGTCAGGACCCATCAGTGAGGCAAGGCTTTCATCCACCACCACGATCGGGGTGTGGGACTTCGACTGCTCAAGAGCGATCCGGACTGCGTGTGCAAGCGCTGGGCCTTTGGTGTGGATGTTGACAAGGGCCGTACACACCCCAACCTTCGCCATGCCTAGCCAAATGGCCACTGCAGGAGAACCGGGTGTGGAGGGCTGTAAACATACAGCACAAAGGTTACAATGCAGAATTGACAAATGATTTACGTTCGGGCGCGCCTCACCCTGCTCCTTGGAACATTCACAAGGCTTGGCGCCTGCAATCAACATAGCGCACATTTGCCAGCCTTTACCTTTTTGGTTGAGACAACCAGGCCCACGTGAGCATTTGCGGTGTGTTGAGAAACCCAGCCCTGCATGCCCGCCACGGGCATCTGGGTCCGAGATGTGCGAATACCTAGCTGGTGTGGTCACCCCCAACAGCGACACAAGTTTCATCTACAAGGAGTTGGTCAAACGGGAGGCGCAACGCATTCCCCGTCTCCTTTCTCCTCTTACCGTAGTCAGGGCACGACGGCATGATCAGCGCGATAACGTCTCCTTTCTGGAGGCCTTGGCTCAGAGCCCAGTAGGCGACCTGATTTGATCTGTGGCGATGGGCGTCCACAGAAACCGGTTATTGAGTCACGCGATATACTCTTGCATGGGTTCACCCTACGAGTCATCTAGGCTACAATTGCTACTATAATAGAAGGACATTCAACCTCTGCCAGCACCCAGGTGGGGCCTTCGATTAACTTTTTCAGCCTACAGGAGGGGGAAAGGGAAGAGTGCAATGAGCCAAGCTTAACACTCACATCCAATTGTAGGTCTAGTCGCCGCCCCGCCGCCACATCAACCCACCTTCGATCGAGCAGAGTGTAAGTGGTAGATGAACCCGTTTCAGCCACCACGATTGCTGGTTTGCCGCCGTGGCGATAGAGGATCTCCTCGAACATGTCTGCTACACTCCTGGAAAGCAAGAAACAACGCACCGAGCCAAGACCTGGCTGAGTCGACAAGCAGGGCGTGGCCTAACTTCGATGTTGCGATTACCTGCGATGTGGGGCGCTAGTTGTAGGGCTCAATCTTGAAAACTGTGTCACGCATAAAACGTTCACCAATGTAACACTGTGATAGCATGCTTGGTTGGCCGCCAATATACAGCCCAGTGCTTTGTAGTAACCGAGTGTGATGTGCGGTCAACTTGCACATAAAGCTTTTGGAGTAAGTCGGACTTATTGGCTCAGGCGGGGAGTTCTATGAGTTGAACTTGCGCTCACCAGTCAACGCCGCGGACTCGCGCAGCCTTGACCTTCAGCACAAGTAAAAGCTTCACTAGGATGAGGATGTCACTGCAGAACCTTAAACCATCTCGAACAGCCACGGCAGCGAGGCCACCGCTGTACGTTGATGAACGGGTGTAGAGGCGCAGAACGGACAGAGGAAGAGGGGCGCGATTATCCGCAAAGCACACAGGAAAAGTGTACGGGCATGTGCTTTTGCTCAGATCAACAAATAAATGCAGCCCAGATATTCCGGGTGAACCGGGGGTGAAAGTCAAACTGCCCCCTTTTCCAAGAAAATGGCGACAGGCGAGAGCGAGAGGACGTGTCATTTCTTACAACCAGATCAACAAATCTTCAAGACAGCAATGTGGGTAGAGTGAAAGAGCAATTCTTCGTACATAATTATTTCTGCACCCAGAGAACCACGTACGATGCCACCAGAGAAGAAGAGGACTCACACTCGAGCAGTAACTCAAGGGGGGAGGTGTGCGGACGTAGAAGAGTGTTCGCCAACTGCTGTCAAGCCATTGGAACTCACGACTACAAAAACGTGTTAATGTAGTCTACACACTTGTCTCGACTATTGTAGACTGCTGTGAAGTCTACTGCTGTGTACCAGTACTACATTTCAACATGCAGCAGTACCTTCGAAACAAGCGCTTGAACTTGGTGTTTCGCCAGCTGAAGTTTCTCTTGCCTCTGGTGATGAGGGGAAGGCAGATAGCCCCAATCAAGCATGCCAGTAGAAACATCAAGGCCAAATTCGAGTCGCAGAGCCACGAACTACCTCGCCATGGGTCGCACTTTTCCCCCTCTTCTCTGAAACATGGTTTCCTACTGTTGATGTACATGTAGTACATGCCTCGTTCACTTTTTTTACGCCCTCGGAACTGTTGGTAACAGCCCCGCCTCTCACCTACGCTTGGTCTCTCCACAACTCCCACGGCAAAGAAGAGTACCGCGGCGAGTACCGGTAAGAGTATCGCTCCAGCTCCCGTCTCGTGTTCACCTCGTGCTAACGAATCCTACTATTTGCCATGGCGGCCACAGGCCGGAACTTCTCGATCATTCATGAGAAACTGCTCCATTGCCGGTTGGTATGCATGTGCCCTACGATGGACTTGGTGGCTTCACTCCACGTTGATGGCCAGCTCTCCGTGCACAGGTGATGAACTTGTGCCTCCCTCTCTCGCTGATGGCCGCCATCGGTCTGTAGTTGCATGTTGCACCTAGGAGCTCTGTCACAGCGGCATCCTGTCTATATGTATCTCCTCGGAAGGCGAACGTGCGGTGGTGACCCGGCTGTGGCAAAGGCAAAGGCCGTTCAAACTTTGAAATATGCGGTGAAATATTTAAAAAAACTGCCTCTCAGCAAGCAGTACCGCTGTAGTACTGCTACCTGTCCTGGAGTATTTTGCACTTCGCGCAGTGAGATACTGCTGTGCGCTGTACCCACAGATACTGCTGTAAGTGCCACAAGTTGCTCTGGTGGTATTTTCACGGGCTCGAAACTGTTGTTACTTGTGTCAACAGGACCATGGGCTGGCAACGAAGTTTCACGTTGACTCAAGAGGATATGGGCAATCGTACGTTCTCATGCGTTACCTGGAGCCCTAACGGCAAGACCCTCGCGGTCGGGTACACCGATGGTACCATTAAACTCTTCGGGATTGAGACAGGTGAGGCCTTGTGCATGGCACTCATTGAACTGTTTTGCTGCTGTTCCAGCTGCAAGTGTGAACCGCCCAACAACGTGCCGGATCATGGGGTTAGAGTTCTGGTGATTCTTTTTGAGTCGTAAATCTTGAGATGCCGCACATTTAGATGCGATTCGTGGGTATGAGCTCGATGTCTCATCGGCTAGAGCGCGAACGCCTTGCGATAGCCACGCACAGTGTAGTTTGCGATGCATGGCGTTCGTTATAGATCCGAAGATGTGCACGCGGGCGCCACTACGGTCGTGTGCACTCATCGAACAAAAACCTGGTCCGCGTCCACTGTGACTTGTCAGGTGCTGAGGAATGCTCGCTGGCGTTCCATGAAGGAAGGTCTCTTGCAGCCCTCACGTGGGTAGCGCAGCAACCTCGTCATGGTACGGCCCGCTCAAGGGCCGACGAGGAAGCCGACCAACTCGCGGAAGTCGCGGCTGCCTACGCCGATCGCTGCGAGCACGTACTGGGACCATGTGATCAGCTGCCTGGAGCCAACGGAGCTCCTGGTGGAGGGGCTGCGGGCCGCTCGTCGGAGTACAGCTCGCAGGCAGACGACGGCTTCATGCTGCTACAGGTGCGAACGACTGAGGTAGCTTCACTAGATTGAGAGGTGTGATGCATGGATACCACACCGGTTTGCAGCAAAGACTGGTTGCTGTCTGTAGGAAACACTGGCGTCGATATCGTATAGTCGTCGAGCTTGGTGTACAGGCGCGTTGTTCGTTTTCCCGCTTTGCAGCGATAATCAGGTGGGAAAACCATTTTCTCCTTTGCTCGATGCGAAAGCGCCAAATATTGTTTTGTGCTGGTCGTGAGATACCAAGGCGACATGACCTATTATAGCAGCCTGACGGCTTTTGTGTTTTCGGGCAAGGTTCCCACTGCTGCCCTTCCAAGACCGGTGTTTCACTGAAACCTTGCGGTGTTCGCCTTTGTTGCTGGATGGTCGAAACGCCACAGGGTATGAAGGAGTGCCCGGTGAGCGTTCTGGCGAGCGCAGACTCCGCAGGAATCGTTGTGCTTTCCATCTGTGGAGCGTATCGACTCATAACCATCGACCTCAAGGCTCACCGGAAACCCACGAAGGGCAAAGGTCGAGCCTCTGGGGGTGGAAGAGTAGATAGCCCCCGCCAGAGACGATCTCGAAGGTCGCCGGGTCAGGATGGTGCTGGTTGCTCTGGACTGACGGAGGGTGAGGTCGATTTTGATGGTACGGGGCCTGCGTTGCGGCCCTTGCAGCTTACGCTCAGCGCGGACCTCAGCGTTTTGACCGCCCTTGTGGAGTTTGACGGACAAGTCGAGCTTATCCAGGTGACGAAACTCAGCGGAACATGTCATACGTTTACCCGCCTGCAACAGCACACCTGGTATCTTCTAAATAGTGCCTCGCCGTACTAGTTGTGCCACTGCCCAGTGAAATAGGTACATCCGGCAAGCACCTGTGCACTACCATTGCTGGTTTCCAGAAGGTTACAAAGGTCGCCCGTCCTGCAAGCTTCTAAGTTAAGACGACCGTCTGCGTGTGACGGGTGATTGACACAGCAGGTGGATCTCCCCCTGCTTTGGCGGCAACGCCACGAGCTCAAGCCCCTGGCGATGCAGTTCACCGCTTTCAGGGCAGTAATCGGGCGGCTGGTGGCGTCCGTGCCACGGTTGCCCCTGCTGTGGAAGGGCACCCTGGAGGCGCTAGAGACCAAGCTCCGGTGAGATTGTCGTTATTATTTGTGGGAAGCTCGCTCAAATACTGCGAGTACGACAGGCTGATCTTCTACGCTTATCAGTCGCGATTTCGTGCTGAGTTGCGGAGTGTAATGTGGCATGATGGGCGGCTGGCTGTGTGACAGTCGATCTCGCCTGTCAGCCAAATGGACCCCTGTGCGAAAGATCGATGATAACACAGGGTGTGTTTGGTTTTTACGAAGAAAGTCTCCAGCGGAAACCCTAACCGCTTTGTAGTGTACCCCTAGTGGAGATACCGAGTTCACCTTTAAGCACTTAGTAACATAGACACGTGCGTCAGCACATTGGTCGCTTCTGCCTCTCGGTTACGTCATGCAGTCGTGGCCATCTTCAATGTTTGGAAGCATGGGGATTGATTCCCGAGGCGCTCTTTTCAATGTTGTGTCTCTGTCGTTTTTTTACAGGAACCTGGAAGATCTTCTGCCGAGATTCGGCTATGACAAAGACATCACTGCCAAAGACGAGTTCATTCATCTTGTGAGTGGCTACGGCATGCGCAAGTCGTGACAGCGTTCCCGTACACCTGGACTCCATTGTCGTTGCTAATCGGCAAACAGTGAAGCGTGCTCGGCAAACCTCCGCACCTTTGGCAGCCAACCAATAAGCTACTTATAACCCGATGTGTCTCACGGAAATTCCACCTCATTGATGGAAAGAGGTTGATGCAACCGCATGTCAGGTATCGCCAAGATGGAATGGATCGACGCAAGCATTCCAAGAAGAAGCACAATGGAAACCGAAACGATATCTTTACTTGATCTTCACGTGGCACCGGACTCTATTCTGCAGGTGACGTGCGGGTATGCCAGTGCTGCGCTCACACAGTTCCTGTCGACAGGCCTTACGCATGTCCAACTTGCTCGAATGCGAAAGGCTGTCGACACCGGCACAGGGCAGGTAAGTAATCGTGTGTGCGGCGTCACGACTCGGCTTCTCGCTGGCAATAAGTGGGATGTTGGATACCTGCAAGTAGATTCCTGAACCAGAGTGTCATGGTTTGTACCGCCAACGCACTAGACACATTTGCGCCCTCCACCGTTATTTTCCCTACGCACCATGAGGCCTACACTACTTCGTGTAATAGGGTAGTAGAGTGCCTTTGACGGGAGGTCCTAGCCTGAAGAAACCACGATGAGTGGTTTAGACACCGCCTCCTTCGGTCCCACCGCGCGCGAATTCAACAAAATGTGCAGGTGGAGGCGATGCTTCGAGGCGACGTGTCTCTCCTGGCGCGAACCTTACTATTCCGAGCTGGCGACCTTCACCGTCTGGTGATTGCTTGCACAGGCGGGGGCGGCGTGGACGGCGATGGGGGGCTTGGTCTGGGCCAGGCGCCGGTCGAAGCGTTTCTCAAGGACTGCGAGATGCTGTGGTAAGCAATGACGGTAGAGTGGTGCTGGGTGGTCTGCAGGTGCCGGGTTTAAGTTGTAATCACCATAACGCTGCGAAGGGGGCAGTCGAACGGAGGGCCAGAGTGCCTTGAGTACCACGCGTGCGGTGATCGGATTAGGGTTGCGCACGCGGATTGCTTGCTTTGTCCAACGTCCGCCGTGTACTCGCCATTGCTTGTTGCCAAGACACCGCCCCGTCCGTGCACAGGCGCGTTTTCGTCATGTCCGAGTCTGAACTCTGCTCCTGTGTCATCTCAAATCTTCTATTCGCCCAGTGTCAAGGTGGAGCAAACGCTGCGTGATGTGCAGACCAGCCGATCGCGTCTTCGTTTTCTCTTGCTTTGGCTGGAACAAATGTCGTCGGTTGTGACCGATTCCAACTCTGCCGATGGCACCGAGGAGCACGAGCCCCCGTCACCCTGCCTGACTTTGGCAAACTCTGTATTGACGATTTTGAGGGAACCCTTGCCGTCGGACAAGCCTTCCCCTTCGTCGAGATCGACAGCAGCCGGTGCTTCGCCCCGCTCCAGGGTAAGTTGTTGCGAATTCGGGGTATGGCAGCCCAGGGTGCGCCGGCAACGAATGCGTTATAGTTGCCTTGTCTGTTTCCGTGTTGTACAGCACACCGGTGTTTTCCGAGGGTTGATGTTGTGGAGGTGCTACACGGGTTCGAGAGGTATCTGTCTTTGTCGGTTTTAACATGCCATAGCACATGGTACGAGTTTGGTGATGGTAATGTGATTTCTTGGATTGGAATATGCACGTGGCCGCGATTGCCGCTCGAGGTTTCGCACCTGTCAAGCAGTTGGTAGTTTTACGTTCAGCGATATCGCAACTCACCGTCACAATGCAGCATTTTTTTTTTCGTGTGTCGAAATCTTGAGACCCTTTTCGCTGAAACCTGATCGCGTTTGAACTATAGCTCCCAATGCCGCCCTTTGCAAGAGCTCATTGTCGAATATCTCGTCAAACTGTGATTGTTAAATATTTTACTGATTACCAGGTGGAATCAATGATTGGTTCACGCGTTCCGGGGCTCGCCGTGCACGAGAACCCAGAAGAGTCCCTGGAGGGGCCCCTCGCGGCTCGAGGGCCATTGACTGGCCCAAATCAAAAGAAACGCTTCATTGTTCTACCCGAGGATCCAGTGCTGGCATCCCGCACATTACGAGGGCAGGTGAGGTCGACTTCCTCTGTCATAACGCGTCCGTCGACCCCCGTTCACGTTTACCTCTCTCTCTCGGCTTTTCTTCCCTAGCGCACGCTTCAGGAGAAATACTTGTAAAGCTGGGCTAGCAGGCATATCTTTTCACCGTATCGCGGTCGCGATTTTTGTTGGATTCAGGTACAACGCCTAGGGGCATCCGTGGAGGAGGTCTTCCAGGCCCCGCGAAACAGAATCAGCCGCGCTGTGGCGAACGTAACTTGCGCGAGGCTGTGCCCTTCTTCTGAAGGGGGCGCTGGCGACATCATTAGGACAAGGGCTGCTGCTAGGGCGGCGGCAGCAGCGTCCGGGGGCGCTCCACCGCTGGTTTCCATGCGCGCGTGCATGGGCTTCCACGATAAGCTCCCAGCCGGGTGTGTGGACGAAGGCGAGCGGGATCGGAGAGAGAGTGGAGGCGTCGTGGCGGTCACGGTGGTTGCAGACAATACACGGGGCGGGAAGGGGTTGGACGTGGTGTGGGTGACCGTAGTGCCAACGCCGCTCCCAACTCTCGAAGGCTCCAACGTCGCCGTTGCCCCACGGAATTCGATGTGTGTCACGGGGGTGAGATCTCCGCCGGGCTTCCAAGTAAGGCAGGTAGCCTTCTACGGCAGCGTGCCAGGAGTTCCGACACAGAATGAGGGGAGGCTAGCGATCGTGTTGGAACCGGTGGCAGACCGAAACCAGGCAACGGCTCTCCATCTGCTCGACCTAGACGAGCTGGGCTTCACGAAGGTCGGCTCGCTCGCTTCCTTCGACGACCACGGCTTGGCGTCGCCCGCTCGGAAGGTACGAGGGGGCGGGGGGTCGAAGGATGTGATAGGGGCAGCGCGCGGGCAGGGTGCAGACACTCCCCACCTGACGGAGCTGAGTAGTCGATCGAGAGAGCTGCCTGGACATGTCAAGGGAGTGGCTGTAGCGCTCTCCGGTGCGCGGGGGATAGCGTGCGCCGTGAGTTCGTCGAAGCACTTGATAGTGTTCGACCTCGAGGAGGACGAGGACGGAGATGACGAACAGGATGGGGAAGAATGACACGGCCGCGTCGTCAGTGAAATGGACTGTGTCTCTAAACGCTGAGCATTGCTCTCAAGCCGTTGTCACAACCGACCTGGTACGCATCAAAACCTGCTACAAAGCGAAACCTGAGAACGTTTGCATAGGGCTCTGACGGAGGCGTATTTGGCTAGCGCGTAGTGGTCGTATTAGGCTCACAGCAGCCGTGGGGCGAGGTGAGAAAAAACGCCAATCCTGGCGAGGTAAAATTCTCGCATATATTGTGTCTGCGAGTGTAGATGCCTTCGAGCGCTACATCGAAGAGAAGCTCCAAAAAATGTTTTTTCTCGTTCCAACAAGAAATCGCTCAACATTGCAAATCCAAGAAATTTCGACTCTCAGTGGGAGTCAACACTCACGGGTCCGCATTGGTGGGGATTCGAACCCATCAACTCTGGTGGTTGACCTTGTCTAACGCAATCCAACCTTTCCAGCCGAACTACGTCGGATGCTGCCATTTTGTATCACACAAGCACTAGGCGAGTCGGGCAACCGAACTCGCACATGCCATCCAGGCAAGGCAGTCAGAACGCGATGGCGTTCATATTGACTCGCCGCGCGGAGCCGTGACACTCATGTTTTTTTATGTTTTATCTGCTTCCTGCAGTGCATGGCCCTCCATTATGTTTTTCAGCATGTCCTTGGCTGATCCTCCCGAAAACGCAGTCGGTGCCTTTTTCACCCCGAGTCCGTTTCCGATGAAGAGTGATCCCGCCACGAGGAGGGTCGAACCGGGAGGGATTGGTTTGTGTCCACGTCTGGACTGCTGCAGGGCTTGTTCTTTCCGCCCAGTGCCATCGAGGTTGGCGTCGGCAGAAGAAGTAGTGTTGTCACGGCCGACTGCAGAAAGCAAGCAAACGTGACCAAGACAAGAAGTTAATCGCCCATCGCGTACATCAGCAGAAGTCTGGATATGCATTGCCTGGAGGCACATTTAGATTCTTAACCATTTGAGACAGTCTGTGTAGCTCCAATTAGTCCGTGAGACCTACATGCTAGAATTGTATCCTTTTTGTTTGCCGTAGGGAACTAGGTTTAAACGAGCAACCGCACGGCACAACGTTTCCTGCTCCGACAAAGCAATAGGTGCGCACCAACAAAGAAGGATGCACTCTTCGTAACTTTCTTGTCAAGCCCAGACATACCTGGAGGACTTGAGTGTGAAACGTGCCGAAAGATTGGCTTCTCGATTTCTCGGGCGTTACTTTTGTTCAAACCACTGTTGCTGCGATGGTCGCTTACGGTCTCGGCGGATTGGTCTTCTTTTGTCATGAACACGTTATCCCACGAAACGCGAGCTTTCTGCAGGGCACGCGAGTTTTCTTTGCGACAAAGGTCGTGTCCACCACCGGCCACCAACTCTTTCGTCGATGAATCCCTGTCAGGATGACGCCGTCTTTGGCTAGAGATCCCCTTCCTGCGGCTGCCGAGCAACGCGCTTTGTTGCTCGCTTCGGTTGGACGTGCTCATAATAAATTCCCTTCTCACGCGCGACAACTCGCGTCTCAGGTCTGTGGCAGTGCTGCGTCCCGTCGATATTTCCCCTTCTCTGGCAAGCAGCGCTCTTTCGATTCCAGGCAAACAATTGGGTAAGATGAAATACACGTTTGGAAGAGGTTGACCCCAGGCACTTGATAAACATCGTTAGAGTAGAGTAGAGGGAATTAGGGCGGGAGAGAGCGTGGTGCCCTGCCGGGGGGGGCGCCGCCCTACTACCCTATCACGCACACATACACGTATCCCCAGAGTCCCCGACTATCAGTATCGCGTGTCGAGTACCCGAAACAATACGTTTTCAGAGGGATAGACGTCGTCATATTCTTCATCAAAGGCAGAATCCGCAAGAACGATACGGCGGTACACTCACTGTTTCAAGTCCAAAATCTCTTTCCGATGGAACTCGATCTCAGCCGCTTGGGCCTCGATTTCACCTGCCTGTGCAGCGTTGACTCGGGACTGGGATTCAAGCTCATGTATTTTCTGTTCTACCTGCCAAAGCACGAGCGTTGCATTACGGAAAGTAAGGCGGACAAACGGTCTGGGGTAGGCGACATGCGCGGATTGCCAAGGGGCGGGCAAGGATATCAGTCACAAGACGAGATCGCCAACGTTTCGTACAGCAACACCAGAGGTCACTATTTCAACACGGACGCGGCGGCGGTAAAGCTCGTTCTGGTTCTCATGCCTTCCTTCCTGCGTCTCGCCACGCCACACGCGATTCTGGCTGTACACTCCACCACGCATGTCTTGTGGGAATACAATTACCAGCTGTGGTAACGAATGGCCATGTGAAACGCAACGCTTACGGAATACCACGTCATTAGTGGATCTGAGGACGTTTGGAACGCACCGGGGTAGCACCAAGGTTTGCTCTTACCTTTTCCTCAAGAACTTGTGCCCTCTTTTCAGATTCTAGCCACCTTCCCTCAACATCCTCGGCTACTTTCTCTGCGTGCTTCGTATCTGATGACATTGCATCGTGCCGGTGAAGGTCCTAGCGGCAAAAAGCATGTGAAAGACGTGCAAGGAAGTCCATCATAGATTAGCTGTACACACCCAAATATGTACATGTTCCTGATGAAGACTGGTACGGATGTTCTCCGCTCGGGTACTACAAATCTCGAGAACCCACTACATCTACCCACTCCTAGTAAAGAGAACACACATTAGTGTTTGTATTCTACCTATGGTCGACCGTTTTAAGGTACCACACCTCTACGCACCTGTAATCGAAGGCTGCGCTCGTTTTGCCACGAGCGCTCTAGTGTTGCCACCTTCTCTTCGACCTTCTGTCTGGCAGCAAACGGAGATGGCCGTGGTTGTGAACGGGAGACGTGTCGAGAGAAGCAATACTCCGCGGGTATTGATCGGCCTTCTGCAGCTAGGGCGCGGCCGTATTTATGGGTCATTGTGGGGAGGCTTAATTTTTGATCATAAACGTCGA